TATTCTGCTCATATGTTTCATTCACTTGAGTATTATACCTCCCTGTGCATTGTTTTTGTGTTATTCACTTGACAAGAGGGTCAAAGTCTTGAACGCTGTACGCTTGTTATTTGTTTCATTACTTTAATTTTTTGAACGAGATTTATTTTGACTGCTGAATTTGTTTTGAAAATTGCAGGCTGTATCCTACATTAGGACCTTGTATGCTTTCACAAATGAAACTTTGGCCAAGCACTCATATGCTAACTCTCTCCAAGCAACTCTAAGATATGGTATTTTAATTAGTCTTGTACAAGGACTTGGGCTTGGCTTTACATATGGGCTCGCGATATGTTCTTGTGCTTTGCAACTTTGGGTTGGTAGGTTCCTGGTTACTCATCACAAGGCTCATGGTGGTGAAATTGTAACCGCGCTCTTTGCTGTAATATTGAGTGGACTGTAAGTCTCCCAATCTTTGTCTGTCTAGAGTTGCAATATAGTTCGTGATAATACCTCTCACATGCGTTGTCTTCTTGTCATTTAGTGGACTGAATCAAGCAGCAACAAACTTCTACTCATTCGATCAGGGTCGCATTGCCGCTTATAGACTTTTCGAGATGATAAGCAGATCCTCCTCCTCTGTTAATCAAGAGGGAAACAGCTTAGCTTCAGTCCAAGGAAATATCGAGTTTCGGAATGTGTATTTTAGCTATCTTTCACGTCCTGAGATTCCTATCTTGAGTGGCTTTTACCTGACTGTTCCTGCAAAAAAGACCGTAGCACTTGTTGGCAGAAATGGCTCCGGGAAAAGCAGTATCATCCCACTTATGGAGCGGTTTTATGATCCTACCTTAGGTATGATGCCATACCTTTTCCTGTTCCGTTGTAAGCTCATGCGATGATGGCTATTGAAGCATAATGAATTTGTTTCACTTGCTGATATTATCAAATTTCATTTATGGTGCAGGAGAAGTGCTCCTAGATGGAGAAAATATAAAAAATTTGAGGCTGGAATGGCTGAGAAGCCAAATTGGACTCGTCACCCAGGAGCCTGCTTTGCTTAGTCTAAGTATAAGAGACAATATTGCTTATGGACGTGATGCTACGTCAGATCAGATTGAAGAGGCTGCAAAAATAGCTCATGCACATACATTTATCAGTTCATTGGAGAAAGGATATGCAACTCAGGTGAAGTCATAGAACAAGAAAGTCTCTAAAATGTTTTGTGCCCCCTCTTCTCAAATCATTGCTACTTCTTTTCAGGTTGGTAGGGCAGGCATATCATTGTCTGAGGAGCAGAAAATCAAACTTTCTATTGCTCGAGCTGTGCTTTTAAATCCAACAGTTCTCTTGCTTGACGAGGTCACCGGGGGGCTTGATTTTGAAGCTGAGAGGGCAGTTCAAGAGGCCTTGGATCTCCTCATGCTGGGCCGGTCGACAATAATAATAGCTCGACGTCTTAGTCTTATCAGAAATGCTGATTACATAGCTGTTATGGAGGAAGGTCAGCTTGTGGAAATGGGTACACATGATGAATTGTTGACTTTAGATGGATTGTATGCAGAACTTCTCAAATGTGAAGAAGCTGCGAAGCTTCCAAGGAGGTATGGCGTGACAACTAAACTTAGAACTGCTTATTTCATATCCGCAGGAATTATCACTGTTGGAAAACTTGCTTGCTTACAGAATGATCACTTTTGTCCAGAATGCCAGTTAAAAATTACATGGATGCTTTCCAAGTTGAAAAAGATTCGTCTGCTAGTCACAGCTTCCAAGAGCCGACCTCTCCAAAAATGGCCAAGTCTCCCTCTCTTCAAAGAGCTCATGGTGTCATGCGTCCTCCTGATGGCACCTATAGCTCACATGAGTCTCCAAAAGTTCAGAGTCCCGCGTCAGAGACAATGATGGAAAATGGCCTCTCTTTGGATGGAACTGAAAAGGAATCAACAATCAAAAGGCAAGATAGCTTTGAAATGAGACTTCCCGACTTACCCAAGATTGATGTCCATCCCACACATCAACAAAAATCAAATGGATCTGACCCTGAATCCCCTGTGTCTCCACTTTTAACCTCTGATCCCAAAAATGAGCGTTCACATTCTCAGACTTTCAGTAGACCCCACAGTCACTCTGATGAGTTTCCTCCTAGACTGAAGGATTCAAAGGATGCAAAAAATCGTGAAGCACCATCCTTTCACAGACTTGCAGAACTTAGCTTTGCTGAGTGGCTATATGCTGTGTTAGGAAGCATCGGTGCTGCTATGTTTGGCTCATTCAACCCACTTCTAGCTTATGTGATTGCTTTGATCGTTACTGCTTATCATAGAAGGGATGAACACTCTCACTTGCGGCATGAGGTGGACAAATGGTGTTTGATAATCGCCTGCATGGGTGTAGTGACAGTTATTGCAAATTTTTTGCAACATTTCTATTTTGGTATTATGGGGGAGAAAATGACCGAAAGGGTGCGGAGAATGATGTTCTCAGGTAAATGTTAAATCCATTACTTGTTTCCTATAATGAAAATGTTCACCAATCTGGTATCAACTTCCTGAGGATAAAAGTCGCTAGCTTATTTTGTGCTCTTTCTCTTACAGCAATGCTTCGAAATGAAGTTGGATGGTTTGATGATGAGGAAAACAGTGCTGACACATTATCAATGCGATTGGCCAATGATGCCACATTTGTGAGAGCCGCATTTAGCAACCGGCTTTCTATATTTATACAAGACAGTTCTGCCGTTATTGTGGCTGTTGTCATTGGGATGTTATTACAATGGCGATTGGCTCTGGTGGCATTGGCGACCCTGCCCATTCTCTCTATTTCTGCAGTTGCCCAGGTGTGTATTTTTTGTTTATGCCCCTGAACTTCCATATAAAGTTTCTAAAGCACAACTTGGATAGTTTTGAGGGACTTCAGGAAAAGTTGCCATACCGGCATCTGCCAGCTCTAGACTTAGGATTAGGTTGTGGGTCTGATTGCAATTCGGAAGCAAGTGGCCTGCCATTGTTACACTTACTTATTTGATACTCATCAATTTGGTGTTTTTGTTTCCATTTGACTTGCAAAATTGTACTCATATATAAGCTCTGAACTCAATTGTCTGGTGGATATGGCAATTACTGATTTAGTTTGAGTACCACAATCCTCTATATGATGATGCAATGCTGACTTGCGGCTTTCTTTAGTCCGAATCAATGGTCTGACATCTCAAAGCTGACTTTAATTGTTGCAGAAATTGTGGTTAGCTGGATTCTCAAAGGGAATCCAGGAGATGCACCGAAAGGCTTCATTGGTTCTTGAGGATGCTGTTAGAAACATCTACACTGTTGTAGCTTTCTGCGCTGGCAACAAAGTAATGGAACTCTACAGGTTGCAGCTCCAGAAAATATTCAAACAGAGCTTTTTGCACGGTATGGCCATCGGTTTTGCATTTGGCTTTTCACAGTTTCTTCTCTTTGCCTGTAATGCGCTGCTTCTCTGGTACACTGCATATGCTGTGAAGGAGGATCACATGAGTTTGTCCACTGCGCTCAAGGGATACATGGTTTTCTCTTTCGCAACTTTCGCACTGGTGGAGCCTTTTGGGTTGGCACCTTACATACTCAAGCGTCGAAAGTCTCTCATATCAGTATTCGAGATTATAGACAGGGTGCCAAAGATTGAGCCTGATGAGAATTCGGCACTAAAACCTCCAAATGTCTATGGTAGCATTGAATTGAAGAATGTTGATTTCTGTTATCCAACCCGTCCAGAGCTGTTGGTATTAAGCAATTTCAGTCTCAAAGTGAATGGGGGTCAAACTGTAGCAGTAGTAGGAGTATCAGGGTCGGGAAAGAGCACCATCATATCTCTGATTGAAAGATTCTATGATCCAGTTGCTGGTCAGATTATGCTGGACGGCCGAGATCTGAAACTTTATAACCTCAGATGGTTGAGGAGTCACATGGGCCTTGTTCAGCAGGAACCGATTATCTTCTCAACAACTATTAGGGAAAATATAATCTATGCCAGGCACAATGCTACTGAAGCTGAGATGAAGGAAGCCGCCCGAATAGCAAATGCTCATCATTTCATCAGCAGCCTACCTCATGGTTATGACACTCACGTGGGAATGAGGGGCGTGGATCTGACGCCAGGGCAGAAACAAAGAATTGCTATTGCTCGGGTGGTGCTCAAGAATGCACCGATTTTGCTACTGGACGAAGCTAGTTCTTCCATTGAATCAGAATCCAGTCGGGTGGTGCAAGAGGCGCTAGATACACTGATAATGGGGAACAAGACGACCATCTTGATTGCTCATAGAGCTGCAATGATGAGACATGTAGACAATATTGTGGTTCTAAATGGAGGACGGATTGTGGAAGAAGGGAGCCATGATGCCTTGATGGCAAAGAACGGGCTGTATGTCAGATTGATGCAGCCTCACTTTGGCAAAGGCATTCGTCAGCATCGTCTTATTTAGGGTTGGGTTTTATACGTCAGTATTTGTCTGAAATCTTGATTTTGGTTCTACATACAGCTGGCCTTCTCACTCTTGTTACTTTTCTAAAGGAAAATGTTACAGCCGGAGCTATATGAGTTGTGGGAATGTCGATTGTATAACAGTGATATCTAGAGCGGACAGGACAGACAGGCAGGCAAGCAGGCAGAGAGACAGACAGACATGTATGATGATATGAAGAAGGCTTGCAGCAATGTGTATCGATAGCAATGGGCGGTTGTGCAGCGGCTGGGGGAAGCTTTTGAGTTCAGACATTAGGATTTAGGAAGGTTAGTGACTTTGAAGTTTTAGGGCGATTGTCGGTTGGTCTGCTCAGGGTGTGGCCAGATGAAGAGTATTCTTTGTGGAGGCATGGAGTGATGTTTTTAGGATTATGGACCAATGGGTTTCTTGCCTCCATGGTAATATATATAGTTTGATTTGTTGATTATTACTTCGCGGGAAATGGATTGGAACAGAGGGAGAGTAGTGTAATTCTAGTCCTAATGATTGCGTGTTTGATTTTTCTCGTTCGTTAGAATTTTGAAATCGTTTATGGCCTTGGATGTAATTTGGTAATGCAGCAGAGAGATGAGACTAAGTCGAAAGACAAGCAGCTGGGGAAGGAACAATTTGTTTATGTCTTCGGGTCACTGTAAATTCTTTTACCATACTGGAAGGGGTAAATTAAGGATGGGGGAGGGAGGGAGGAGGAAAGGCATTTGTTGTAATATTTTCCTCTGTAAATAGCTACGTTGATAATTCTATAGCTTTTCAACATTCCTCAACTATGACATTGGTTGATGTTAATTGACTTATTTTGATGTAAGAACTGGAGCTTCTTAATATCAAGGGTGCTCCATGGACATGTTGCAGGAATGCGTTTATGGCACAGAAATCGGCGCCTCGAGCACTCCATTTACAGTAGTTTTCACATGGAAATGGTGCAACTGTGGACTGGAGTTGTTGATACATTGATTGAAGAATCAAATGTCGAGCAACTTGAAAGAGTCTGCAACAACTTTGAGCTGGTTGCGAACCCTTTTCCACCGTCTCTCGTTCGCTCCCACGATCAGCGTGTAATACCTCCCTGCAACAAGGGACATAAAACTTCATGAACACCTTGACGAAAGCCAGTATCAACCATGGAAAACTCCTCCGCGATGAAGAAACTCACCGTTGCCAATAGCAATGGTGGCGAAGGAGACGCTGGAGTAGTTAGGAGAGGTGAGCTCGTACTCGAACGTGTAGTAATTCTTCCCGTCCACGCTTTTCTGCAGTAACGCGCGAAACCAACAAGAAGGAAAAGAAAAGCAGAACTTTGAAGAACTTCTATTGATAAACCTTCTCTTCATCTTCATCCACTTGAAACATTTCCACCATTTGTATCTACGCAATGAAAAAAAAAAACAAAAACAAACCAACCTCTTCCATGGAGTAAATGGTTGGCCTTTGAGTTGGAGCAGCATAAACTTTGCTGATCAAATCGGATATGACCTGCTCCATTGGACCCAGTTCATGGATATCCTTCTTCTTCGTCGGTATGAACCTCACCCTCACATTCTGGATCTGCAGGTACCTGTCCTTGAACGCCGAATCGTGTCCCCTGAAATCGAAATCCTGATTCCTCCCACCACAATTACACCAGAACAACAGTGAATACTGAATGCAGCAACTAAGTTCATTGAATCACAAAATGGAGGGAAGATTGTCAACATTAGGACTCACTCTCCAATCTGATGGGTAGATGTAGGAATACCCATCTTCAAGATCCACATAACTTTGGTACTTCTTCATCATCTCTACCAAAAGCATCAGAATTGTGGCATGAAAAACCAGGCCAGAGAAGATGAACTGCAATAGGCCAAGTTCAGAGTATGTACCTTCACCAGAAGCAGAGTTCAGAGGGATTAGAGTACTTGTGGTGAGTGCTCCTCCAAGCCCGAAAATCAGTTGTCTTCTCTTCAAATTGCCTTCGAAAAAAACCCGAATTCATTCCCATAATTCAGTGAATGGAAATGGGTTAGACTGGGAAATTGCCTGAAGGCCAAATACTATTTCTCACTCACTACTAGCTTCTCCATGGAAGGACGGTTCGGATGAGAAACTGACTGATGGCTCGTTGCCGGCCGATGATGATAAGGAAGCAACAGGTACCCTTTTGGTTATTGCTGCAGCGGTTGAAACCAAGCTCATGGAGAGTGATGAAGCTACAGCCATTGCCGTTGCTTTGTTTCTTGGCCAGTGATCCTTCTCATTTCCCCCGCTCTATTTATCTACTTTCTTTTTTCGTTTTAAGAAGATGGTTGTTTTGTGTTCGTTTATCAAATGAGAAACGGATAGCCTGAGCCTTGGCCCTTGAGGCTTGCGGGAAGTAGGGATGTTGATGGGTCGGGTTTTGTCAAATCCAAACCCAAATTTATGGGTTTATCCGCAGAAAAAAAATTGGGATAAAATCTACTGGGTTTGAAAAACTCAAACCTAACCCAACACGCTAGGTATTCGCGAATTAATGGGTACCCACGGGTTTTTATCTTAAAAGATTTATAATAGCAAGTTCCTATCAAAATAAAAGTCAAATATCAATCTCTCAATACAAATTATCTATATATAAAACATCATTATAGAAAATTCAAGTAAATCACAAATTAACCATACAAATTGTTCAACACCAATCTAGAAAACTCAAGAAAATTGAAGCAAATCACAAATTATCCATAAACAACATGATTAATTGAAAGCTTCTTCCTCCTTGTCAATTAAGTTATTTCACTCTCCACTCGATAATATCAACTTCATTCTACACAATTAGAAAGAAAAAATTAGACATGTATCCACAAACATAAAGAAGATTAGTTGTTTAGAATATTAAATACACCGGAAAAATTAATTATATGGGTGTGGACGGGTACCTATGGGTCGGGTTTACCTAAACCTAAACCCGTCAACACGGAATTTACCAGCGTTGACCGGGTTGAGTCGGATAGGGTACCCGTGGGTTCGGATTTTGTTGCCATCCTCAGTGGGAAGTCCAGCCAGCAAAAGGCCAAGATCAGGTGACTAAGTTAATCTCAGCCATTGAAGCTCATTAAAATATAATGATTCAGATTTATCTAGTTTAATAAAGGGTAATGTGGTAATTAGTTGAGTAGTATGGAATACCCCCGGCGTCTCCCGCCTCTTCCGGTCGGCGATCCATTTCAATTTTCCCCATGGCATGAGAATGGGAAATAGGGCCTGGGAATGGGAAATATATCCCCTCTCTATGGAGTTCCTCGCGCACAGAAAGAGGAGAGAGAGAGAGTTTTTGTTGACGAAGGAGATTTTTCCGCCAACCAACAACGACATAGAAGGATTTTCCGGCGACAGTGGTAGATTTGTGATGTTTGTTGATCTATTGATCTATTTTGTAATGTTTGTATCGATTCGGTTTGTATTGTTCATCATTCTTGTTTGTCATTTTTTAGTGACATTTTGTACGGTTAGTATGCTTTGTACTATTTGTCGGTTTATTTTGTAATGTTTGTAAGCTTTGTTATTTTTGTGCACCATGTTTATCATTTTTGTCAACCATGTTTGTAATGTTTTTTATGTCTGAAAACAACCTGGTTGACTTTTGGATGAAACTCCTCTATATAGGGATGAAGCCTCCAAAGTCAACTCGGGTGTTTTTCCAGTTTGTATGAATTGTCGGTTTAGTTTGTCATTTTTGTCCACCATGTTTGTATGTCTAAAAAACACCCGGGTTGACTTTGGGACGGAGCCCCTCTATATAGGGATGGAGTCTCCAAAGTCAACCCGGTTGCTTTTTTCTTTTTGTATGGTTTGTATTGTTTGTCGATCTAGTTCGTATTGTTTGTACAGTTCATATGTTTGTAATGTTTGTAAATCTGTTTGTATGTTTTGTCGTTCTACTTTGTACTGTTTGTAAGTCGTTTCGTATACTTCGTAATTTTTCATAATACCCAAACTATCATGTCATTAATTAAATAACCCTTCCCACTTTTTAACCGTGAGATTGTTGTGTCCAGATCTAAGGGCTGAGAGTGGTTTATTCAAGTGACTAAGCACCCCCTTAGTCACATGATCCTCTCTTGCCAGAAAAAGGGGTTATGTATCTACGTTCATATTTTTTAATTTTTATGTGTGTTTCTAATAAAATATTTTTAGTGATAAATGTGAAACAATTTAATAATTCAGTGATCAAACTTGTCATTTATTATTATAAAACACAATGATAAAGAAACGGCGTCGTGTTATGGTAGTATTTTCCAGTTTTCATCACCATCTACTACGAGACGCTTCAAAATCAAAACCCTTCAATTGAGTCTAGGGTTTTTGGCCTCCAAATCGAACAATGGTGTTATCAAACAAGAAGCTGAAGCAAAAGCTAAGAGAAGCAAAGGCCGAGTCTTTGGCTTCATCGATATCGGGGGAATCAGTATCCAACTCAAATGGAGATGCGGGCGCGATTTTGGGGTTGCAGGAGCGACTGGATGCAGCAAAACAGAAGACGCGGCTTGCAAAGAAGGACAAGAGAAGTAATTCCCGAGGCCTAGAGAATGATGAAGGAAAGGGTCCAACCGGCGTGAAGAAGGAAGTGCTGGAAAATGGCGATGAGAAGACAGAGGAGGGGAAGAAGAGGAAGAGAGAAGAGGGGAAGAATGGCGAGAAGAAGGACGGCAAGCAGGCTAAAATGAAGAAGAAAAAGGAGAAGAACAAGAACAAGAACAAGAAGATCAAGGCAGCTGAAAATGGCAAGGACGAGAAGTCCGCGGTTATTGTTGGGGGAGCAGGCGAAGTAGAAATGAAAGGAATTGTTGAAAGGTAATAAGCTCTTTCTTGCTTGCTGAAGATTTACTAGTTATTCCATTTCCGTGGGGGGTTTTCCCCTTGCCCTTTCATGATTCCCTGCTTCCTGGAAAGCTTACCAGTAATTGGTTTTGTTTGGGGTGGTTTGATTTTGGTCAATATCTGGTTCTGTATGTGCTATTCGATCCTGCAAGTAGTAGTATGTGGTCATTTCTTCGCAATCTCGGCTTCTGAAGTAGGAGGTGTGACAATTTGATCACTAGAACTACATTGTGTTCTTGCAGTTCAGTGAAAATGGAGACTGCAACAAAAGTTTATGTTGGGGGTATTCCATACTACTCAACTGAAGATGATATTCGGAGTTTCTTCGATAGTTGTGGTACCATCACAGAAATTGATTGTATGAAGTTTCCTGACAGCGGGAAGTTTAGAGGAATTGCCATTATTAACTTCAAGGTACTCAATTTCCCTGTTTCATTGACTATACTATAGTGCTTGCTACGCTGTATATGTCGTCCTGAACTATCTTCTTGGCTATTGATGATTTTTTTTAGAGTTATTGTTGTCGCTTTTTAGGATATGCCGAGTGGAAATAACTTTTTGATATATATCTTGTTAGCAAGTAACCATATGCATGCACTTTCTGATCTGTAGTTGGCTTGTTGCTTTCATTTATCTCAGATTTTGGCAATTTGTAATCTTGAGCTTTATACATAACGTTTACGGGGCCATCTGCAAAATGTAAACCAATAGAGTATAGTTGACGGAATAGAGTATAGCACTCTAACTCGTCCCTGTAGTTGACTGGTGGTAATCCTGTCTAAAGCAGTGTTTCTCGAATAGACCTCCATTCCCCTGTTTTCAACAAATTAAGGCTAAATCTATATATGTTAGTCTAACATTATGTCTGCATTAGATCAAGCTTTCCTTTCCAGCATTTGAAAATTTCTTAAAGGATTTGTATTTTCAGTTCTGACTTCAATGATTCTTTCATTCTTTCAGACTGATGCTGCTGCCAAACGGGCCTTGGATCTTGATGGAGCTGACATGTAAGTTGGGTTATTTAGTCTGTGGTAGTTACTAGGCTGCTGTTCATGTTCTTAAACCCATCCTAGAACTCATGTAATTCTCAAATACATTGCAGGGGTGGATTTTTCCTGAAGGTCAGGCCATATAAGGCAACAACTCGACAAACTAAAGTCCCTGATTTTGTTCCACAAATTGTAAAAGGTTACAACCGGATCTATGTCGGGAACTTACCGTGGGATATAACAGAAGAAAACCTCAGGAAGTTCTTCTCAGATTGTACTATATCGTCCATCCGTTTTGGCATGGACAAAGAAACAGGGGAGTTCCGAGGTTACGGCCACGTTGATTTCTCAGATGATGTCTCAATGATGATGGCACTGAAAATGGATCAGCAAGTTCTGTGTGGCAGACCAATTAAGATCAGTTGTGCAGTTCCCAGGAAAGCAGGAGAAGCCCGACCAAAGGATGGCCCTCGGCCTTCCAGAAATGACGAAGTCAGTAATCCTGAGGTCATTCCAACTCCTCCCGTTGTAGAAACTACTGCAGCAAGTATTGAAGCCAGCTACTATGATATTCCTACATCTTCCATCGTTGAAGTTGTGAGAAATGAAGCCAGTAGCGAGGCACCAGCCCCTGTCAGTGGTAAGATAAAGAGGAGGACCTGCTATGAGTGTGGTCAAAAGGGTCATATTTCAACAGCTTGTCCGAATAAGCCTGATGTACCAAACCCCATTACAGATTGAACCGAGTCCAACTTCCTAGTCTTGCCTTTTCTTTTGCTCCCTGTTTTAGGGGAGAGAGATGCTAGGCCATCCAGAAATATTGTTTGGAGGTTATCTGGCGATCATAGGGAGTGTTACTATCACAATTTTGTATGCTAGAATTTTGATTTGTGAACCAATGACGGAAGTGTCAGTGGGTTAGTTTTGTTTATCTGTCTGTTTATACTACATGTACCAAGCAGAAAGTTAACAAGAGATTATTGAAATACCAGTTTTTGTTCTTGCTCTGAGATTGAGAGAACTGTTGTGGTTTCCTTCTCATGTTTTGACTTCATTCACCAGGTGGCTCTGCTACTTGGCTTTATTAAGCTGATCTTATTTGCGATGCATATATGGCCGGTGCAGATGGTGCATGAATTATTAATCAGCTAAACCCTATGCTTGGTTTGTTAACATACTTGAATTTTATGCTGACGGTCTTTAAGTGGGCATGTTGTATTGCACAGCTTCCTGGCTGAGAAAGCAAAGGACAGGCTGCCAGGTGCTGCAGGTAATGCGCTTGCTTAACTTCTACCTTGAGACCTCTCCCCCTTTGCTAGAGACAAGAAATGGCATCCTGACATCTTTGTATGTGCTCAATCTCTTACCCTTCACTTGGGAAGTTCCATTCATTGAAATGATTGGTTTCACTTGTATTAACAGAATGAAATCTGTGTATGTAGTGTGCAGCTGAATTGGATTGAATGGATGAAATTGGTGCAGACCGAATATAAATTGATTTGGTTCAGACTCTGAACCTTAAGTTTTCATATATATACATTATCGCCGTGCACCAATTCGGTTAGACCCAAAAGTCACATTTGGATTTTAGGGTTCGGATTATATCATCAAGTGGATATGATTTTTAAACACTCCATTCCTTGTCTGCTTCTGAGAGGTCCCTATGCATTCAGGAGTCTTATCAGTAATCACCAAATAAACAATCATGCCATCAAGTGGATGTGATTTTAATTTTTAAACACACCATTCCCTTTTGTAGTTTTCTTATGGTGGTGAAAAACAGGTTGGGAAGTTGACACAAACTAAATCACTCTGTATCTGCCTCTTATTCCACAGTAGTTAGCTCAGACCAAATCCTATGCCATTATAAGAGCACTCTATCTTTTCCTCTGCTCCAAACCATATATCTGCTTCTTGCTAGTAGAAAATGGAGTATGTTGGAAGAATAGAGTTGGCTACCCCAAGGATATATAACACAGACGATCTTACCCCTCCCCATCAAACTCTTGTAGATTACTTGGATCACAAGCCTTCTCTTGAGTTCATGAACTTGAGAACTGACCTTAAGATCAAAACCAGGAGAAAAGCAGCAGTCGTTTATCACATCGAACGTAACGGTCATCCTGAGCATCCTCATTTCTTGGAGGTCCCCATCTCTTCTAGTAAAGGGCTCTACCTCAAAGGTAAGGCTGCCTGATTCTATTTCATACTGGACCGTTATCTCATCTATGAACATCGATATATAAAATCTGATGTTCCTCTTTTCTGCAGATGTGATCAATGCTCTTAACTCGATCAGAGGTCCAGGCATGGCTAACATGTACTCATGGTCATCAAAGAGGTAACCATTGCTCATACAATCAAATGAAAACAAATGAATGGTGCTTGTTTGGGAAAATCGAATGGCGAGATCGATTTTTTTGATTGTTTGATTGGGTTGTAGGAGGCATGGGAAAGGATTCGTGTGGAAAGACTTGACAGAGAACGACTTGATACAACCATGCAATAATGATGATGGTGGCAATGACAATTACATTCTGAAAGGGTCACCAGTCCCTGAGCTCTTCTCCACATGGAACTTGAGATCCCCTGCTGCTGACACTCTAACATCTTCAGCCACATCCAAAGGATCCTCCGACGACATCGACGCCTCTAGCATGAGCGATGACGACGACGACTTCGATTCACCAGTCATCAGAGGGAAGAGCTTTGGCCGTGGCACCACGTTTGTCGATGCTGATGTTGATGATGATCAACGTCGACGGGATAATAAGCTGCCACCACCACGCACGATGACCATCTTGACCAATGAGATTGATGAACTGTACTCTGAATTTCCATCACCAATGGATGCAAAAGATGTTGATGCAAAAGAAGCTTGCCAGCAGCGCCATGAAACTCTCCGATCTGCTATGATGAGAACTACTACTGACAGGGTTTCTCCTTCTACACCTGCTGAATCAATAGCCAGAAAGCCTGCTGCGGGGAGAGTTGGGAGGCCGAGGACAACTGAGCTTCTGTGGACTCTGGTGAGGTGTGGTCGTGTGGATCACGTTCGATGAGGTGAAAAGAGATGGACAAATGAAGATGGTGATGAAGAAGTGGAAGAAATGAAACTAAGTGATGTGATGTGTACTTTGATGATCAGGAATTCACAATGACTATTGAGGTTGTTTTTTTTTAAATAAGAGATATATGATGTTGCAAGACATGTAAGGAGGGTGGGCATCGGTATGAAATCATATCAAATCGAGATAAAACCGAATCAAAATTAAAGAAAAATTGAGGACCATAACAAAATAATTTTTTTTTTGGTTTTTTGGCTCTGACTTATTTCGGTTCAATTTTCATTTTAGTTCGTTTTTATCGTACTTGAAGATCATTTGAAGGATAAAAATATTTCGATTAGATCTTATCCAAATATTTATTTGATATAATTTGTCTTATGTAGACTGGATTGTTGTCCACCCCTAAATACATGAATCATCTATGTAAAAAAATATTTATTATTACCCGAATCATCGCATGTCATTATATATGAAGACTTGTGAGAAAAAAGTTTAATGGTGAGTAGAATATTATCTTTAAACTTTGTATGTGAAATAATGGATATTTATATACTATATTGACCAATATAAATTTGATATACTTTGATTTATGTGAATTGACTAAAATGGTATGTACAAGCTTGAATAAGAGGTTTTATAGAAGAGAAAGTACGTTGAATTGGAAAGGTCAAAGAATCTAAAGTCAAATGGTCAACCCCAATTCATAACATTATAATTTTAAAGGTAAAGAGTACTTTTAGTCCCCATATCTATAGTTTTAACAAACACATCCATATAATATGGAATTTGTCAAAAAGGTTCTTCTAATATGTTGTTTTTATCTGTATATCAAAATTTGTTAAGGATATAGTCGACTCATGCTCGGTAATCACTTGTTTAAAAACTTTGCATCTCAATTATGTTCTACTGGATTAATCATACTACATTCCTAATCCTTATTAGGCTAGAATGTTATAACGCACTAATAGTTATTGAATAGCATTTTTTGGAATTCAACCACCGCGGATCAAACTACAATATTATAACCTTGTCATTAACTATTTGGTCGCAATAACTGAGGTTCATGCATAAATCTTAATCACTTTTTTATACGCCCTTTCAAACGAAAGACAACTAATGGCCTTGAAATTAATTTGCACAGGTTTGTTATACATGAATTTCTCCCAACAACTCGAGTTATTATGAACATTTATAAGACAAACCACAATACATATTTCTACGATGGAACTGTGGTTGAATTCACATTTTTTTTTTTTACAAAAGGTAATCATATTTTGATTAAAGTAGAGATAAAACACATTACACCCTGATATGGATCCGTGACAAAAAATCAAAGGAACGACGATCGAGTACAAAGAAAGAACCTTTTTAGTTTTTAGCCACCAAATATGCTATCCTATTGCTAATCCGATCTACAAATCGTACAACAAAACCATTACGAAGCGCCAATAGACATAAGACTTCTTCAAGAATGGCCCCAGAATAACTATATCGCGTATTTGCAAGGATTATCTTATCAATGACCACCTTCGCATCCCTTTCAAAACGAACCTATAAGATACCGAAGTCCAAACACCACTGCATAACCTCCCGAAGGACCAAAAGTTGTATCAAGGATGAATCATCATTATCCTCAAAGTTAGGGGTGTTCAAATGGTTACCATGGTTATAACCAAATCAAATAAGGCTAAATTCCATTAACCATGGAATACAATATCATAACCAAACCGTCCAAACTAGTACAACAACCAAATTAACCAAACTAAAATTTAATCGGTTTGGTTAATTGGTTAACCAGATTAACCAATATAAAATCACATTATCATTGACGATGAAAATTTTTCGGTTAATGCATCAATTCGCAATTCATATAATGAATAAAACATAACAATCAACACGTAGTTATAGTTGACCCTTAACAAAAATACATGCAACTAAGACAATTATCTTACAATTAGTATAGAAGTATTCACCTAACAAAAATTAATGACAATGGTATGGGTTAATGAATTGTTGTGTTTGTGTAAATTGACTTAGTCTCTTAGCAATTATCATAGGCTGGAGCCTGAAAATGACCTTCCTTTCAAGTTTTCATCCATCATAATGTATGAATTTTATCTAAATTAGGCGTCCATATGTTGTGGTCTACACTTTACATATACAAATATACACTATATGAGCAATATTGAGCTTTATATTTTATGAGTCTAAAAGGGATGAACGTTAACTCTTGAGTGGTCATGCAAAGTATTAAGTATGTGTATATAATATATGTTAGATATATGACTAATTACTTAACTGGTTAATTTGGTTTGACTGGTTAGGAGTGTCTAAAACCTAACCAAACCACCTACACCAAACAAGCCAAAAACTTTAACCAAACCAAACCAATTATCCAAATTAACCAAACCAAATTATCCAAATAATACCGATTAAAATAATTACCACAGTAACCACACCGTTTGAACACCCTGCTCAAAGTACATCCCTCTTACCAATACCACAGATCCTCTAGGATCCTTCAGTATCATCCCTCACATAGCGTGAGACACATTACTTGTCGATGCCACCCCACATGCAAATTACAAAATAAATTAGAAAAAATCAGTTAATTCTAGCAATATTTAAATCATTTACTAATAACCCAAAAAGTATATAAACAGCATAAACGATGAAGAGATATAAAAGTCATAATATGTAAACGTATCTAATTCAGGAAATTAGATAAACGGGGGAGAGAAAGATTACAAGCAAGAAAGTGATAATAATAAGGGTAATGTTTATTTTTTATCCAAATATTTTTTGATTTTTTGAATTAGCCAAATGTTAACTTTCAGTTAGCAATTTTGTTACTAATATTGACTTGGCAATATAATATTGACTTGGAAGAAACTTATGAAGATCAACATTCCAATATTTTAGTATTTTAACTAAGAAAAGAGTTACAAAATGATTAACAATAAACTAATATTTTGATGCATTACAAAAGATTTGACTAATTGATAACATTTTAATAAATTTGAATAATATGAAAAAATTTGAAAATTTTTTAAATAAAAAATAAACATTACCCTAATAATATATAATTCAAATAAAAGAAGGAATACGCCGAAAAGAAAGAAAAGCATGTGCGTACAACTTTTGTCTTACGAGATCAACGCCTTAAATAAAAGGTTTTCACCCAACTCATCGAGCGTCTCTTCTCAATAACTCTCTGCTCTTCTTCTCACAATTCGCTCACCACGCCCTCCTTCCGTTCCTTCTTCTTCTCGAGCTGCTGGATTTTTCTTTATCAGATACAGTCTAAGTCTGCCTCGCTTCTTTTGAATGAATGGGACCCATTAGAGGCTTCAAGCGGAGGAAGAAATCTTCGGACCATAAGGTTGACCAGAATGCCTCACCTTCTACTTCTGCTTCAGCTGCTGCTAAGGACCATGGTGCTTCTGTCCCTTCTCCGACCGATAAAGCTGTTGATTGGTGGGACGAATTCTCCAAGAGGATCACTGGTACGCCTTGCATTCCACTATTCCCTTTTGATTTCATATATTTGGATGAGCCCAACTACTGTTTCGTGTTTGCTTCCTTTAATGGCCGGACCCGACTGATTGTATTGGCTTGATTTTGGATTGTATGAGGGTTTGACATGGTTATTCTGATTGGTGAGAGATTATGCGACGTGGGTTAATTCCGTTTTTTGGCTGTAATTGAGCTTTGGTAATGGCTGCCCACTACAGTGTCCTAGCTACTGTATCTATGTCGCTACATGTCTTGCTTTGCTTTGTCCCGTTCTGCATTGCTTTTCCTCCATCAGGATTGGATTGGGTCCTTCATCAGATCATTGATGCTTGAACTTGGGAGTTATCAGTTAATCGGAGCTGGGTTGATCTGGTTTTTTCATTAAGGACAATGATAGGCTTAGTGGCACTCAATTTGTCATAGTATGTTTGGGATTCTACCAACCTTGTATCCATGTTATAGTCATCCTCCTACTTACCTTCTGCTCACAGCTAGATCAAGGCTTACATCTTGACAAATTATGGAGTCACTTGAATGCTGTCTTGTTTCCAATGTTTCTTCAGCTGTTTTTGGTTGTAATGACTTCAATCCTATAGTTTCATTTTAAACCTTTTATGATGTGAGAGATGGGTTGCTGTTATATTAGATCGTTTCAAGAGGATTGACTTATATGTCTCTACTTTCCAGGGCCTTTGTCTGAATCAAAGAATGCAAAGAGCTTTGAGTCCCTTTTCAGAATTTCAAGGAAGACTTTCAACTACATATGTTCCCTAGTGAAGGATGATTTGGAAGCTCGGCAGTCAAACATCTTGGATCTAAACGGGAAGACATTAACTCCACATGATCAAGTAGCTGTTGCTCTCCGCAGGCTGAGTTCAGGTGAGTCATTAGCAAGCACAGGTAACGCCCTGGGAATCAACCAATCAACTGTTTCCCAAATAACCTGGAGATTCGTGGAAGCAATGGAGGCAAAGGCAGTCCACCATCTCCAGTGGCCAGCATCAGAAGCAGAGATGGAGCAGATCAAGAACAAGTTCATGAAAATCCGCAGCCTCCCCAATTGTTGCGGTGTAATAGACGCTACACATGTTCTCATGACTGTTCCTACAGTCAACCATTCACATGAAGTGTGGCTTGATCGAGAGAAGAAGTTCAGCATGGTATTGCAAGCAGTGGTGGACCCCGACATGAGATTCCGTGATGTGATTGTTGGGTACCCAGGAAGCTTGAGCGATGCTGTCATCCTCCAGAGCTCAGGTTTCTTCAAACTATGTGAAGAAGGCAAACGATTGAACGGCAAGAAGAAGGAGCTGATGGAAGGGACAGAGTTGGGTGAATACATTGTAGGGGATGCAGGGTTCCCATTGCTGCCATGGCTCATTACCCCGATCCAGCACGCTGTCCCTGGTCATCAGGTCGATTTCAACAAGCGGCATTCTGCAACACGCTCGGTTGCCAAGATTGCACTGGCGAGACTGAAGGAGATGTGGAGGATAATCCATGGTGTGATGTGGCTGCCTGATAAGAACAAGTTGCCAAGGATTATCTTTGTTTGCTGCTTGCTGCATAACATTTTGATTGACATGGAGGATAAGGAGTTGAATGGAGTTCCTTCCTCCAGAGATCATGATCCGGATTACAGACAGCAGTTCTGCGAGTCTGTCTCAGAGCCTGGTAGTGAGATCAGAGAGAAACTCTCTCTATACTTGTCCAGAAAGCCTCCACCTTGAGAAGAAACCAAATCTTGGGGGATTTCATCTTTTTGTCAACAGTTCTTCCTCTGACATGCAGCTTTTCAGGATAATGTTACACCCTCCTTTTGCTCATAGGTTTCATAGTTACTATTAGGATTGGTGAACCATTGATCATGAGTTCTCTTTTTTCTCCACAATTGTCCATGTTGAATAGACAGACACATTGTCAGCCTTTTTCTTCTGTCTCTTTCAATTGTTGTATAAGGAAGTATTTGTGTTGAATTCCATCATTTTTTGTAATTATGGATAAGGATTTGTGTGACCAATTATACAATGCTTTCCATCAGGAAGCTTGAGATTGCTGGTTCATCCCATCTGGGATCTCATTCCCCTTGAAAGTTTTGATCTTCTTTAGGATCTTCTTCAGTAGAAGTCTGCCATGCCATGTTAGAAAATCACTTATTAGGAATGGAAGTTTCGGTCGTCAGGTAAGTGACAAGTTGGGCCCAAACGAGGCCCACGAGGAAATGAATGTATGATCCATGGGCCAACCTGTGAGCCCATTAGCTTGAAAGCGGAGCTGAATGGATGGAGCTAGTCGTCTCCAACAGTCCAACCTCGTCGAGATCGAAAAATCCCCAAAGCAGAGTGGCGAAAACCTGAACGGATCAAATCGCTAGGGTTTAACGGTTTAAGCGCGGTGGGCTGTGCTAATAGAAGCAAGGCAACTCCTCAAGGACAAGAGATTCTGGGTCGCTTCGTTCCTAATTGCCTGGGCAGCCGGTCTTTAGGTAACTTGATTTCATTCCCCTGTTTTCTGATATGGTTTTGCGCTGAAAACATGAAAGCTGGAGTCTTTTAATCTAAATTATCTAATCTATACTTTCTTTCTCCTGGATCGAACAGGGGCATATGATGTGGTTACAGAGGCGAGACTCCTTCAAGCAGAAGTTTGGCACGGGTGAGCAGAGCGCCAACAGCAGTAGCAACGATGCGGATACAAAAGAAGAATGAACCCTCCTTGAACATCTCTTCCATTCGTGGAGTCCAAATCTTTTAATGGAGTTTTACCCAACTGGGTTGTTAACGTTCTTTTGTTTCAGACTGAGATCAGATTGATTGTAACCATACTCTTTTTGATGGGTCAATAAAAAATACTAAAGGTTGTTATAATCAATTTTTAATGACTACCAAGTGTTCGACTAAATGTCTCTGAGAATTCGACGAAGGATATTAGAGCAAGCCACTTATGGGAAGTTCTGCAGACACTGAACGGGCAGAAAAATTATCAAACTTGAACCCCTGCCATTGTTCTTCACGGGAACGAAACCCATAAAGGGAAAGTATGAAGAACTGCCGAAATCAGCTAGGAAGTTTTCAATCAAGAAAACAGAGTTTCCATATCTCCAGCAGGGGAAAGTAGCCGTTGCGTTCAAAACCCTGCATCTATATCACCATTAAGCAAAACTCACTGCTCAGCAGAAAAAATCTTGGACAGAATCACACAGAAAGATTTCAACCCTTTTCACCAAGATTTTCGAGCAGCAGAGAAAATCTTTGTCGATTCTGGAGATCGTGAAGAATCCAATCTAGTGGGCAAGACGATTTCCTTCCCCCCACTTTACAATGTCGAGCAATCCGGGGAACAGAAGGTGCGCTGGGTGCAAATATCTGAGAAGAAGATGCCCCAAAGATTGCCTGTTGGCTCCTTATTTCCCTCCCAACAACCCACAGAGATTCTAATCTGTCCACAAGGTTTTCGGCGCCAGCAATGTCGCCAAACTCTTACAGGTAAACCAACCAAATCCATTACCATAGTACCATACCTAAATCCAATGCAAACAATCTTAACTGAGTCATACAAAATCCAATATCGAATCCCAAAAATGCGACCATTCTTGTTCTCAAATAGTCAAAGTGTACATGTTAGTGTTGTGGTATATGATCTACGATTGAACCTCTCCCAACAACTTGAGTTATTGGGATCAACTGGTTCTTTACATGGTATCAGAGCCTTCTGTGATCGAAAGGTCTTGTGTTCGATTCCCGGTGACCCCATTTGTTAAGCACATGGTATTCTTGTCTTCAGATCTGTGCAAACTTCAAGCCCTTATGAGTGGCTTTCGTTTAAAGGGGCGTGTTAATGTTGTGGTATATGATCCACGATTGAACCACTCCCAACAAGTCGAGCTGGAGGAAATGTTTATCATGATCATGTGGCAGCAGGGTGCATACAATTTAGGAGGCAGAGAGGAGGATGAGCTTCTATGGCCTGTTTTAGAGGTTAATTCTGATCATTTCGTTGAAATATGATACTCGACAAATTTTACTATCATTATGTACAAAGTTATAAATCATCTCATGTCTACAAATTTATCTAGTGTAATCTTTTGTTTCCTCATTTCTAACATCTTTAAACTTTCATCCTTGATCGCACTTACTCCACATATTCACATACGTATCCTCCTCGTCTCTAGCTCACATTCCACATGACACTAGCAACATACCACTGGAGAAAAATACACCACGTCACACAAATACTGTAAGAACCCCGCTTCTAGGGATTCTAGGGACCGATCTTCGGCACCCGCAATTGCTCGTAACAATTAGGGATTTAGGGTTGAGAGAAAGAATTAGGGATTTAGATTAGAAAGAACATAATAGATAAAGAATCGGCCGAGGCCTTGGATTAGGAGAGAATAGAAATTAGGAGTTGAGAGGATAAACTAGGGTTTAGGAGACTCTTCTTAATATTCTTTTTTTTGGTAGAAACTCTTCTTAATATTCTGCTTGATTGGTTATGACGTAAACCCAAAGTAAATATTTATAGGGAACTACTAGAAACCTCTAATAATAATAATAATCCTAATACGACTAAATCTCTACTAACCATAATTATAATTATCCTACCTAATATAATAGAAACCCCAAATAAATGTGTTTATGACAATCCATCCCCCTTGAAAACAACCTTGACCTCAAGGTTGTAGTTGACTTCTACCTCCTTATCCTTCCGCTTTCTTTGTTTCCAATTGCGCTCGATCCCTTGAATGACCTCTTCTCGCGCAACTCCCACTTTCCTTGTCTCTTCTCCACCCACGTGACATATGTCACGTTATCCATCGCTAGACAATTCTTCTTTCTCTCTTGCGAAGTCCACGAAATAAAAATCGGAGAATTGTTCTTCCTTGTACTCCAACTCGAGGTCTTCAAGACTATACTCCATAAATTTCTCTGTGGGCTTGGTGGTGAAAACAACTCATAACTTTCCACAACCTTCCTTTCCTACTCCCTTGGATCGACCCACATTGGCTTGTAAGAATGAGTTGTGGCCCAAACTCAAGTCCACCCTCCCCTTACTCCTAACTTTGCTTGGGCTTGTTTCCTCCAAAAGCCCACTTTTTAATTCCACCAAGCCTTTTTTCTTAAAATGACTTCTCTGCAAAATAAACCCAATAAGACAGATCATGTGAAGCCTGCTATTACCCTCATGATGCGGCCCGCCTTGTTTGTCCACCTGACCTAGTACCAATTCTCCTTGCAAACCCCCTTGGCCCGAAGCAAGCCTAGAGAGACCCTTCCTTCCTGTCAGCCTGTTACCCAAGCCAATCAGCTCGTTTGAACGTGTGGCGGTCCTCTGCGGATCCGACCCCCGCGCTGGCCCGTCATAAGAGAGGCCCCAATCAATTTGGCCCAAAGAGAACCCGGCCCAACCAAAGCTTCGGCGGTCTAGGGTTGCAGAGGAAGGGAAGCAGCCGCCCTGCCTCGTCATTTCCTTCCCCAGCAGCACACCGACCGCCTATTGACGGCGAGATTTACCATTCTCCGGCCTCGCCTTCTTCAACGGCGGGTCGTTCATCTTCTTCTCCCTTGCTTCCCTGTCGAACGCCGCCACGGATGGAGCCGGCGGCCCTCATTGCTCATTCATGTCACGGAATTCGCCCAAAATTCCGTCCGAGCTCCGGTGGGTATAGCTCGCGTCAGTCTCCGCCGTCATCTTCTTCATCTCCTCCGACGGTGATTCACCCAGCCGGCGACACGAAGATCCGCGCGCCTCAGGCCGAGTCTCCAACTCTGATTCCCCGTCGGCCTTCGTCAGCTCTTTCCTCGGCGCTCCCCTTCCTGACGGTGCGCGCTTCGCCTCCTTCTCTCGCGACGAGGTCGTCAGGCGGCTATGAGGGCAACCCGATGCAGCGCCTCTCATCTCCGGCCTCGGTACGTCGCCGATCGTCGATTCAGAAGGAAGAGAGAAGTCACCGGCAGGATCAAACAAGCCATTCGTTTGTGGCTCCCGGTTTCTTCTTAGAATCGATGATGATGCGAAGGCTACCTGGATTCCGTCGTTGGATCGCGACTTCTTCTTCCGAAATCGCCAGTTCACCAAGCGATTTGGTGTTGACCTTTGCTCTCCACCTCCTGCTTGGGAATCTTCTACAGCAGCGGCTGCCCTCTCATTGTCGAGAACAATGATAGAAGCAACAAGGTCACCTTCTCCTTCCGCCCCAGTATCGACTGCAGCCTCGACAACCTTGTTCTCCTTGTCAAGTGCGGCGGCCAGGGAAGCAGGTTTCCCTTCTTCTTAGACCACCACTGGGACTGTCATCTTTGCAACTTTGCGCCGCTCCTCGGTCTTCATGGCGATGACTGTTGGCGGTGATGGCGAGACTCGACTCGTGACTACTTCTACCTCCAGTCCGATGCTGCTTGGCCTTTCTCTGGTGGACGGCGGCTCTGCCGCCAAAGGCTCCTCGATCTCCATTCTCTTCTCGAGCTCGACGGGGAACGCAGGTTGTTCCAACAACTCTTCGAAATCGATTTATGCTATCATCGGTTCGATTGGGACTGGGCTCTCTCCATCTTTGGTCGGCGAGTGTTTGCGACAGATTCCAACTTCATCTTAAGAGCTTTGGTGAGTTCTTTGATTGAGAGCCCTTCGAATCTCAACATGGCTCCGGTACGAGTGTCTGCAACCAGGTTCTGATACCACTGTAAGAACCCGGCTTTTAGGGATTCTAGAGACTGATCTTTGACACCCGCAATTCCTCGTAACAATTAGGGATTTAGGGTTGATAAAAAGAATTAGGGATTTAGACGAGAAAGAACATAATAGATAAAGAATCGGCCGAGGCCTTGGATTAGGAGAGAATAGAAATTATGAGTTGAGAGGATAAACTAGGGTTTAAGAGACTGTTCTTAATATTCTGCTTGATTGATTATGACGTAAACCAAAAGTACATATTTATTGGGAACTACTGGAAAATCCTAATAATAATCCTAATACGACTAAATCCCTACTAACCATAATTATAATTATCCTACCTAATATAATAATAGAAACCCCAAATTAGGGATGGCAATGAGTCGGGTCGGGGGCGGATAGTGCATATCCATTACCCTACCCAAAGTAGTTCGGATTTTACCCATACCCACATCTACATGTGAAACGAGTAAAAAATCAAAACCATGCCCATACCCGTTCGGAGTTCGGGTATCCACGGTTATCCATGGGTAATAATTTCAATTCATAACTCCAACCAATATGTTAACATTCACACGGATTCTCACATTACGTTAGAGGAAAAATACGACAATAATTCACTAGAATGAAGAAAATTAAGTAAAAGTACACAATTTCATGAAAATATTATATTTATATGCTATATATAAAATATGTTAGAGAAAAATAATGATTATTTCTAGATTAAATACATATACATGTGTATAATCGGGCGGGTTCGGGTTGGATAGTGAGAAATCCATGCCCACTCATTACCCGAAATATTCGGGTTCGGGTTTTACCCATACTCACTAAATGTCTTTCGGGTTCGGATTTTACCCTACCCGATTAGGCCGGATTCGAGCGGATATCCACGGTTACGAATATTTTTGTCATCCCTACCCAAATAAATGTGTTTCTGACAAATACCCAATTGTTAAAGCTTCAATTTATCACATTAAAAGTGAAAGATTTCTCGTCTCACTTTGAGAGAAAATTTGGTTTCACCGTCCACTTATAAAATCTATATTTTTCATGCAATTCTATCCAATTATTTACACATATGTACTATATATATATATATATCCCACCAATATATAGACGTTCCCGGCCAGGACCTATGCAATTGGAAATTTCTAGCTCCTAGAGCAATTCAAGGAAGGACTCCTTGGTCTTTGGAGTTTGGATGAAGCATTTTTTTATCCTACTGTCCCGTTGACTGTTGTTGCTACTTCAGTTTGGTTCCTCATCTACCTAGATTTAATTAGGTTAAAAAGAAATCAGGAAAATTCCCATCATAATTGTCGTTTAAACCAAAGTGGCTTGAAATGTGGGTTTCATGTAATGTCACTGTAGTTTTAGTTTTAGTTAAGTTAAATACAAAATATTTAAAGGTTTAACCGTTAGAAGATTGTTGGATATGATTTACGAATTAAATTTTTTAGGCTAAATACAATATATTAGTCACAATTATTATAAAGCGAAGAATTAAAGCCACAAATATGTAAATTCAAATTATTAGCCATAACTATTTTGCGGGTCAAGATATGGCTAACTGCCCATACTGTTATTGAATTTTTAAAGGAGAAGCCATGTTATCGGCCACGGCAGTAGCCACGTCGGACTGCTTTTAATTTATAACTTTAAAACATAAAAGTTTAGTCAGCATTATTAACTGAATTGTTAACAACGAGTTAACGTTTGGCTAATAATTTGAATTTCCATAGTTGTGGCTATAATTCCCCGCTTCATAATAGTTGTGACTAATATATTGTATTTACCCAATTTTTTAAAATGTTTTACAAATATAATTAATATTTAGTCATGAATGGAAAACTAACAGGATTTGGAATACTATCATTCAATGTGTACGTTGGAAGCACTAAATATACTATAAATTTCAAAATTGTGAAGGTTATTTTACAGGACAGTGTAAATATCGAGTTGAATCAGAGAATAAATTATTATCATCTATCGTTACTTTGTCGCTGGCAAATCTAAAAACTTTGGAAGTGACTAACTTTAAGTTATGGTAAAATTAATATCATTTGAATTTATGTATTTTGTTGTGTTCTATGATTTGGGAGTTAAAAAATAACTTTTGATTTTCTAATCATTGTTTTTGTGATAAGAGTGATGGATATGAAGTACCTCCTCTAATGAGAGTCAAAGATCAAACCCGACCACAATTTCCACCAAAATCAAAATCATAGACCCACTATAAAATAAAATATCATAAATGAGAAGGAGGTAATTATGAGTTTCAATGAGTCATCAATACTTAGATGCTAATTCTTTCAATAATATTTAGAGTTATGTGCATTTTCATGCCATGTAAAGTTTTCGAAGTTAGGAATTTGAGATAATTGCTGAGTATGCAACCTAGGGCTGGGTAACGGTGCGGTCTGGTCCAAACCAGACCATATATACGGTCTATGGTTCAGACCGAGAGGCTAAAGTATAGATCACTGACCAGACCACAGACTATACGGTCCGGTCCAGATCACGCCTGTGCGATCTGGTTCGGTCTGGTCTGGTCCAGAAGACCACACTCAACGAAAAATGAATAATTGTTTTGTCAACCACGCAAAAAATTGAACCAATAACCAAGAAATATAATTGTTATTTTCCTTAAAACATTAATCCTAACATGCATGAATATTTTTGATACTCTAAATCTTAGTACATAACAAAGATACAAAATAAAAATATCCCAGCTTGCACCATAACGTCATAAACATTAACATAATGTCATATGGAGACACTATTACCTCTACTCTCTGGTTAAATGTGGTTGTGAATGAAGGAGGGAAGAGATTCACAAAATTAAGGTTGAGATTTGGGTGTAGTTGTGGGAGTTTGGAGAGGGGTCGAATGGGCTGTTAACACGTATTGACAAGGCAGTTGGGTCCACGGTTTTCGGTAAACCGCGGTCTAGACCAGACCAGACCAGACCAAGAGATCAAATCATAAAATAATACAGACCATGGACCAGACCAGACCATACTTCACGGTTTACGGTCCGGACCAAATTGTGCGGTACAGTTTGGACCACGGTTTTTCTAACGGTCTGGTCTATTTTCCCAGCCCTTAATGCAACCTATCTTGAAAAGTTGAAATGCACTCCAATGAGTACTTTGTACAATAATATCAGGAGTATGATCGGAAGGAGTCTACCGGGAGAAGACAACAAAGCTGTTAGGAAAGGAAAGAGTGAGAAATATGGAGAGAGAAATGTAATTACTAATTAATATAGGTTCAATTTAAAAAAAAGAATGTAATTAATATGATCTTTTAATTTACAAAGATTATTAAATGCAACACAAATTTAATAACCAAAATATCTATAATTAATAGGGGGTGCTAGTTTTCCAATAGGGTAGTCGAGCTAAGCTAACTCATCCTTGACATTGTTGAGAAGAAGAAAGAGCATATTTGATGAAGAGATAGGGGTGTCGTTTATGAGGATGAAAACACAATTATTAGTGGATATGAAGATGTTATTGACGGTGAAGCAATCTCAGAGAAGTCTAAAAAATTTGCATTACTTTTGATATTGATGAGTAAAATTGAAGTGTGGTTTGGTTTTTTAGATGTCGGTTTCTTTGCATATGTTTCTTTTAGTAAGGATTTTGGACAATAAATCGGTTAGAATGTCAGAAAAATTATGATGTATATTATTTAACTTTTCCTTTAATTAAATCATTCAAATTCTTTTATACTTAGAAAATGTGTCACGCATCCTACAATTATAATCATTGTTTAATTGATCAAATGAGCTGACCATCGGGTCGGGCCATTATCTAGTTCATGCATATAACATATTCGGTTACGCAATTACATCATCTTGTCTAGACCTACCAACCAATCATTTTTTACGCAATCTTATAAGTTCAATTAACGAGTAATCACATCGTGTATCAATCACTTATTATTTATGAATTCGTTAAATTTAAAAGTTCTAGTATTCCCTCTTTCGACACTTAAAAAAATCTTGTATTGTACGAAGGTAAGACGATGAAACAAATTTTCTCGTCCTGTGACGGGTCAAAGAGATTAGGGTAGGGGGTGAATTGGGTTGTTGCTGATAGAGATTAGTCACAGGAAAAATATGACTGGTCCTTTGTTTAGAAATAGATGAGTAATGACTTTGGGTGTGATGAAGATGATGCAATTGGGGATCAGATTAGAGTGTTATATGTTTCTTTCCCGAGAAATTAAGAAAATGCTGAAGATTGATATGAACGGTCAATGTAAATGAATGGCAGCAGCCGCCATCTTGACCTGGAAAATTAACCAGCCAGCCTATCAAAAGCGCAATCTTGTCTGTTTGTCAAACTAATGGGACCTTTCACTGTAGGTAAAGACTATTCCAATTCCTAAATTTGTGCAAAATTCACATGTAATTTTACTTACATTTCAAAATAGAGAGGGGATTACAGCTCCTCCTAGCTTCATCCTAACTCCACTATTGTAAACAATGTGTTTTGCACACTAGGGTTTTTGGGTTGTAATGACCTAATTGATTTCGAGTAGGTAGCTAGCAAAGCAAAACTCATCAGTTTGAAGGTCGCTAGCTAGCAAAGAAAATCACTGTAACAAACAATTGTTCGTTTCAACAAGAACACATACGTTCAGAAATAAGCATTGTTTATTCGTTTTGGTCTGTACGTATATACTAGAACTCGTCAATTTGGCCACTCTAACGAACCGGCTAAAGGGAAGGAAAGAAACCAAAATTCTCAACCAACCCTTAAAAAGTTGGACTTTGTAACGGTACAATTTGGACCACCGACCCAAACATGGTCTGGTTTACCACGAGAGAGATTTTAGTAATTGAAAGGCCCAATTATATTAATTAGTTCAATTTTCTTTACTATGTAAGTTGGTCGCTCTCTCCGTCTTCTTTCGTCCTTTACCGTACACCATAAGCCACTCATTGGTGCAATTTGACTGCAAAACGTACACTATTATGTGTCTTCGTCAAATCGTCCGGCCAGTGGCGGCAGTACAATAAAGAATAACTAGCATGAGCCCCGGCCGATTGGCCGGATCGTCCTTTTCTTTGCGAATAATGTTTTATTTTGTCAAATAACATACATTTATCTATGTTTTCATCTGTTTAAAAAATAAATGAGTATTAACATCTCTTTATTTTATTTAGGAAAAAAAATTTCCAATGTCCATAACAAAACTTGCAATTGGACAACTCAGGAATATATAGAGACAAAAGAAATTAAAATTTCAAGATAAAAATTTATATTCCATCTTAATAACTTGGATTTCCAATTTCAAGATAATTTATGGATAATTTTTTGACATATAGAAAACTCCATCTAAATAAACCCATTGAAAATCCAATTCTTATTATCTATTAAGGACCTAGTTTTTTAAGGGGAAAAAAGTCTATGTTCAATAGTACACGATAGAGCTTTTGATCTATAAAAAAAAATTACAAATTTTTAGTTGATATTTTGTGGTAAGAACATAATGATTCTTTGGTGATACCCTAAAGAATAAAATTGAAAAGGAAAAAAATCATTAGTCTAATTTTATTTTTTAATGACTTCTAATTATGAATGACAATGAGTCGTGTTGAGTCGGATTTTTCTAAATTAAAACTCAATTTAGCGTGTGCACCAATTAAAAAGATGCAAGAAAATACTCATTGGATTTTAGAAGTGAGAACCCAACCTGATGGGTGCATGGGTGCCCCATGGATTCACGAACATAATCGTACATTATTTCTTCTAACATGCACATTATTTTATAAAACAATTCTATAATATCTCTATAAAAACTACTAACATCTATAAATTCTCATATTATTATATTTATATTGCCATAAAAACTAATAATGTCCATAAATATTCATATTAGTCCATTTATATACAAAATGACATCATTTTGCTTTATCGATGTGGGTCAAGTGGAAAACAGAACCCAAGATAACTCTTAAATTTCAAAAGCAGGTAAAACTCGCACCAAACCCAAAATCCGTCAATAATGAGTTTTACCTACTTTGACCATATTAGATTTAGGTGGGTACCCATAGATTCAGGTTTAATTGGCATCATTACTTATAATGATCAATGCAGTCAAAATCGCGTTTTAAAGCTTAAAAGTTTACGCTTTAAAAAAATATTACAAATTTTTAATTGATTTTTTGTGTTAAGAACATAATGATTCTTTGGTGATACCCTAAAGAAAAAAATTGAAAAGGAAAAAATAATTAGTTTAATTTTATTTTTAATGAATTCTAATTATGAATGACAATGGGTCATGTTGGTTCAGATTTTTCTAAATTATAACTCAATTCAGCGTGTGCACCAATTAAAATGACGCAAGAAAAATACTCATTGGATTTGAGAAGTGAGAACCCAAACTGATGGGTGCATGAATGTCCATGGGTTCACGAACATAATCGTACATTATTTCTTCGAACACACACATTATGTTATAAAACAATTCTATAATATCTCTATAAAAACTACTAACATCCATAAATTTTCATATTATTAAATTTATATTGCCATAAAAACTAATAATATCCATAAATATTCATATTAGTCCATTTATATACAAAATGACATCATTTTGCTTTATCAATGTGGGTCAAGTGGAAAACAGAACCCAAGATAATTCTTAAATTTCAAAAACAGGTAAAACTCGCACCAAACCCAAAATCCGCCAATACTGAGTTTTACCTACTTTGACCAGATTAGATTCAGGTGGGTACCCATAGATTCGGGTTTAACTAGGCATCACTACTGATAATGATCAATGCAGTCAAAATCGCGTTTTAAAATCTAAAAGTTTACGCTTTTACACTTCTAGGTAACTAAAAACAATTCTAAGTAATAAATAAAAAAAATCACTTTTATGTAGAATCACACTTTTTCCTTACAATTGAAGTCAAAATCTAAACTTAAAAGCATATGATTTTACATTTCTAAATCATCAAAACGTTTCTACGTAAAATTAGATTTTTAATTCCCTTGCTAATGATTGAATTTTGTGTGTTAACATTACCAAGAAGTAGTGATTTGTTTAAAGTTGGTTAATTGTCGTAGGATTGTAAGAAAAGACTCATAAGATTGTAAAACTAAAATGTTGTTTATTAGAAGTGTCAGAACAGAAGCGTGCAAACGACAATCCAAACCAACACGAACGAACACGAATTTAACGTGGTTCACTAACACAATGTGTGCTAGCTAATCCACGGGCAAGGGAGAACAAATTTCACTGATTAGAGGAGAGTACATGTTACAAACCAAATTCCAAACGGACAAACCAAACAAACTAACCTGACTGACCTTTACTACAGACTAGGGTGACGAAGAGTATTTATAGGACTCTTCTCCTAATCCCAAACAGAAAACCAAACACCTTTTGCCAAACATACAAGGAAAAAGGTCAAAACAAAACCCAAACCCAAACCCAAACAGAATAGGCCTAAAACACAAAACAAACCCAAATCAAATTCAAGTCATATTCTAACAATCTCCACCTTGACTTGAATTCTCTGTCAAATACCAGATGTACCAGACGCAACCAAAGTTGCCAGATGTACCAAACGCGATACATATCGCCAGACGTATCCAAATGCGATCGAAACCGCCAAACTCAAATGCAACCAAAATTTTCAGACACCAAACTCTTCAAATCTCCGAATTTTCCAGAACCTCCCCTGCCTCCAAATGCCCCTAAGGGCGGTCAACAACTCAAACCATTCGGCAAGTCCAATCCATATTGAGACTTGCCATTCAGAACCAGCTTGGTGCACTTATCACCAACAGAACATGTCAAAACAGAACCTTGTAGACTATACAAGGCACCCCGCTTGACACCTTTCAAAATCACCTTAGAACCCTTGTAGACAGACAACACTCCACCTTCACCTTTGAAGCTGAAACCCTTGCTGTCGAGTAGACTCAAAGATATCAGATTCTTAGTCATCTCTGAAATATGTCTAACATTGTTCAAGGTGCGAACAGAACCATCATTTGTCCTCATCCTGACGGAGCCTCTTCCAACAATCTTACAGATAGCACCATTGGCCATAGAAACATGTCCTCCATCTATCTGCTCATAAGTTGAAAAACACTCCCTGCTTGGACACATATGATAATCAGCTGCAGTATCTAAATACCACACATCCTGATGATGTACTTGTTCATTCACTGCTAAAGCTAAACCATCTTCAGAATCAGAGTTAGTTTCTTCTGTCACGGCAGCCGATGATTCCTGCTTCTCCTTATATTTCTTCAGTTTAGGACAATCGAATTTCCAATGTCCTTTCTCCTTGCAGTAATGAAAGATATCATCCTTCAAACCAGCAGAATTCGAATTTGTATTCGCCTTCCTATTACCAGATTGTTGTCTCCTACTACTCGTAGCAGCCAACCCAGATGCCTGATTTTCCGAACCTGAACCAGACGCCTTATGTCGAACCTCTCTAGTATGTAGAGAAGATCTGACATCTTCCAAAGACAAACTATCTTTCTCAGCAATAAAAGAATCCACAAAATTCTCATACGACCGTGGCAAAGATACTAACAGAATTAAGGCAACATCCTCATCATCTATTTTAACATCAATATTCCGCAGATCTAGCAAGATAGTATTGAGTTGATCTAGATGATTCCTGAGAGACGTACCTTCCTCCATACGCAAACTAAACAAACGTTGCTTCATATGCAACTTGTTGGTTAAAGACTTTGTCATGTATAGACTTTCAAGCTTCAACCACAAACCCGCAGCAGTCTTCTCAGCAGCAACCTCAGTGATGATGTCATCAGCCAAACAAAGCAAGATTGTAGAGTGAGCTTTCTCCTCCAAAGTAATCCACTCTTCTTCATCTATACTTTCCTTCTTCGATTTTCCAGACAACGGAGCCCACAAACCCTTTTGTTTCAACAGTGCTTGCATCTTGATCTGCCACAAACTGAAACTGTTTCTTCCGGTAAACTTCTCAATCTTCATACTGATAGCAGCCATTCTTACTATCAAACAAACTCCAACTAAAATCCACAAAGCACAACTTCAGTCCAGCGCCAAATTCCCAAAACCGCAACCAAAGGCTCTGATACCACTTGTCAGAACAGAAGCGTGCAAACGACAATCCAAACCAACACGAACGAACACGAATTTAACATGGTTCACTAACACAATGTGTGCTAGCTAATCCACGGGCAAGGGAGAACAAATTTCACTGATTTGAGGAGAGTACAGGTTACAAACCAAATTCCAAACGGACAAACCAAACAAACTAACCTGACTGACCTTTACTACAGACTAGGGTGACGAAGAGTATTTATAGGACTCTTCTCCTAATCCCAAACAGAAAACCAAACACCTTTTCCCAAACATGCAAGGAAAAAGGTCAAAACAAAACCCAATCCCAAACCCAAACAGAATAGGCCTAAAACACAAAACAAACCCAAATCAAATTCAAGTCATATTGTAACAAGAAGAATAAAAAGCAATAGCAGCGAGCGGCCTTTACAGGAAAAGGCAGGAATGAATAGACAAATTCCTCTTTTCGTACTATGCGTGCATCACAAGAAATTTAGAATGGAATGGATTCCGCAGGAGAATCTTCTTATATAACTGGGAGGATTAAGTGAAATTTTCATTGTTTAGGGTAAATAATTAGTCGATTTAGATAATAAAAAATTCATGGTTTTCTAGCTAAATTTTAAATTTGGTTTTGCTGGATAAAATTTAAATGTGAAATACAGTATTCCTTACCCAACGCATTAGCTAGGTTAAGTACAACACAAAGCTATTACGCAAATATATTCCGTAACGATATGGACTACAACACAAATGGAAATTTTAATTTTATCTTAGGCAATATTATATAGAGAGTTCTCATATATATGCTAGCCCCATTTTTTTTAGTATTATCCAAACCCCACACCATACCCAATCAATTCGGAAATTTCTCTCATTGATTGGGTCGGGAGGGCGATATCCACAATTTGTGTGTGCAATTGTCATTCCTATATCCAAGTTATAAAAAATTTGTATAAAATTTGTGTTTTACGGCTATGTACTACTATCAATTCGCCAAATAAGTTATTGGCAAACTTATTATTATTTTTTTGTTGGTAAGCACCACTAATTTTCACAAAATAGACTGATGAAACTTGTCTAAGTTTTTCCTGGCTTAAATTTCGTTGTCAAATGACGTGTATCAATGAGTCCCTTTTTTTTTTTTTGCATTACAGGAGGCCGAAGGCCGAAGAAAGAGATTACAAGGGGGGCGCCGAGAGGCTGGGAGGGGAGGAAGAGTCCGCGACCACACGTCGCTCGAAAGTGATACCCATGTTGTCCTCTTGCAGAATACTACCTAAGCCTTGGGGCGGGTTCGCAAGCTCATGCATACCGTAGGGATAGACGAGACTTGCTTCGAGAGCCAGTCCGCGACTCTATTCCCTTCCCGGTATGTATGAGAAATGCTCACCAGCCAGTCTTGGCTTAGTTTCCTGCGAATAGTTGAGAGAAGAGTGGAGTAGGGATGAACCTGGTCCAAACGGTTGTTAATAAGCTCAATAGCTAACCTCGAGTCTGATTCAATCTTCAGAGTTCGACAGCCGGTGTTCCAAGCAACTTCGAGACCATGAAAGACAGCCCATAATTCCGCAAGAGCAGCAGACGCCGTTCCTATATTGCCCACAAAACCAGAAACCCAGCGTCCGGAGCTGTCTCGAATGCAACCCCCTGTACCAGCTGGACCTGGATTACCACAAGAGGCACCATCAACGTTAAGAGTACACCAACCTTGAGGAGGGGGCTTCCAGCCAATATTCTGCACCACCCTAGCAGCCGCTTTAGATCTGCTGCCAGGCAAAACCGTCGGAGCATGCCAAGCATCATGCCAAAGTTTCGCTTTAGCAATGATGGAGTGAGCCAAAGAAGGAGGAGAAAGGATGGCCGCAAGGCCCTTGAAGCAAGCCTCACATCTGCTTTTCCAGAGACACCAGGTTGCGACACCAAAGAAAGCAGCCCACGGAATCCCGGAAGGCCCTGCTTCTGAGTTGCTAAGATTCTCACGCAGCCAATCGCCCTGCTCGGCACTGAAGAAGGAGTGCTGTTTCGCAATAGGGACATGCCTGCTCCAGAAGAAAAGAGCTGGGGGGCAGTCACGAAGCGCATGGAGAATGCTCTCAGGCTGTCCCAGGCAGCGGACACAGTCCGGGTTAGGAGCTGATTTTCTGCAAAAACGAAGTTGATTAGTTGCAATTCGACCAAGACACGTCAGCCAGAGGAAGCTCCTAACGCGCTCCGGGACCGGTAGGCTCCAAATGATCTTCCAATACTTCTCGTCTGGGTCTGCATCGTGCTGGTTAAGAAGATTGTAAGCTGTTTTAGCCGAAAATCTTCCATCGGAGGCCGCATTCCAGAAAATAGTGTCATTCTCTATCGAGATAGTGTCCACAGCTGTGCTAAGGATCTTCATCTGGACCTCCTGGGGAAGAAGGTCAGAGTAAAGGTCGGTACGCCAAGCCCCTTCCTGAGTCACAAAATCAGCCACCACGGCATCCTCCATATCCGCCGGAATTTGCCCAACCGCTACATCCTTGAGAGGTACCTGCAGAATCCAAACATCGGACCAGAACTTAGTGCGTCTACCATTCTTAATGTTCCACGCACAACCTCTATGAAGCAAATCAGCGGCCTTAGATATGCTTCTCCAAGTAAAAGAACTTCCCTGAATTGGGCGGATGATGCCTAAGTCCCTTTGATCCCTGTTGTATTTATCGCGCAGAACTCTGCACCACAAGCTGTCCGTCTCCTTGAGAAGTCTCCAACCTCCTTTGGCGAGCATCGCCAGATTCGCCTGCCTGATGGATCTCAGCCCAGCTCCACCCTGTCTCCTTGGGAGTATCATCTTCTCCCAGGCTACCAGATGCATCTTGGCTTTGTTCTCCTCTTCTCCCCAAATGAAATCCCTGTTCAGCTTATTGATACTCTTGCACACACCAACAGGGATTAGTTCAGTATTCATGTGATAAGTAGGGAGAGACGAAGTTACCGAACGAGCCACGGTGAGTCTTGCCGCTAAGGATAGTCGACGAGCTTTCCAAGGGGCGAGTTTCTTTTGAATCCTTAAGAGAAGCCCTTGATATCTCCCTTTGGTGATCCGGCCATGGATGGTCTCAATGCCCAAGTATTTCCCCAACTCTTGTTTAAGAGGAATGCCCGCCTTTCTGCTCAAGAGATTAGCTGTAGCCCGGTTGACGCTGGGGGAGATGTACATGATTGACTTGTTGTAGTTAACCCGCTGCCCAGAGCTAGTGCAGAAGTCCCCCAAGCATTCTTGAATCACCTTAATCTGCCGAGACTCAGCTTCTGCAAAAAGGAGCAAATCATCTGCAAAGAAAAGATGAGTCAGAGGTGGGCCGTCCTTAGTAAGGCGAATGGCTTTCCACTGCTTATTAAGAACGGCCACATCAATCCTGTGTGAAAGGCGCTCCATACAAAGAACAAAAAGATAGGGGGAAAGAGGATCTCCCTGTCGAACGCCACGGGAAGGAGTGATAGGTTGAGAAAGCTTTCCATTCCATAAGATCTTCATCTGGTTCTGCTCGACACAATGCATGATACAGCTTATCCAGGTGCTAGGAAGGCCAACCTCTTTCAAGGTATCTCTCAGGAAATCCCATCTAAGCATATCATATGCCTTCTCAAGATCGATCTTAAAAACCATCCCTCCTTTCCTTCCTCTTCTCTTATTCAAGGTATGGAGGACTTCCTGGACAATGATAATATTATCTGAGGTCTGTCTTCCTGGGATGAAGCTGCTTTGCCTGGGGGAGATCAGCTTCCTCATGATCGGCTTAAGCCGGCTCGTCATCGCCTTAGTGATCGCCTTCAGGCTGACATTGTTCAGAGAAATCGGCCTCAGCTGGGTAACCAACTCGGGGCTGTCAACCTTGGGGATGAGAACCACTGTAGAATCTGAGACCGCCGCTGGGAGGTTCCCAGTCGAGAAGAACTGGGTCGCCATATCCGCTAGAGCCCTGCCAGTTGTGCTCCAAGACTGTTGATAAAAAGCCGCCTGGAAACCATCCCGGCCTGGAGCCTGGAAAGGCTTCATATCGAAGATTGCCCTATGGATGTCCAACATAGTAAAGGGGCGCAGTAAGAGCATCATCTCAGACTGACTAAGCCTAGGGAAGGCTTGCTTGGGGAGTTTATCCTCATAGTTTGAGTCATCCTGCAGGTAGAGGTTAGCAAAATAGTCAAACACAAGAGAGGCAAGCTCGTCTGGGTCGTCAATCCAGACCCCGTTCGCATCTTTAAGGGCCCCAATCTTGTTGTGCCGTCTCCTGATACTGACTTGTTGGTGAAAATAGGCAGTGTTGCGCTCGCCAAACTGAACCCATCTCTCTCTAGCACGTTGGAACCACAACAGCTCCTCCTGCTCCAGAACTTTATCCAGCTCTTCCGCTAGCCTGGTATGAAGCTTGGCTAAGCCTGGATCGAAAGAATTTGCTAGGCGAACCTCAACTCCTCGAATCCGAGCACAGAGCCTACGCTTCCTCTGCTGGATATTCCCAAAGACATTGAGATTCCACTCTTTAAGCTTAGATGTAAGCTCATCTAAAGCTTCCGGAAAGTTGGCTTTTACATCTCAAGCTCCTGCAACAAAATCCAAAAAATTGGCGTGAGTAAACCAAGCTGCTTCGCATCTAAAGGAACGAGACTCAGGAGGAGAGTGCCCCTGGAAAGCAACAGAAGTTAGGATGGGATTGTGATCCGAATGGAGCCGGGGAAGATGGCGAACAGCCGAGTTGGGGAAGGTAACGTTCCACATCGGGTTGCAGAAGCTCCTGTCAATTCTGCTAGCTTTGTATGAACTGCCCTGCTCCCCCCTAGTCCAAGTAAACCGTGGCCCCGAAAACCCCAAGTCAATCAGCTCCGCCAAGTTGATCCGGTCATTAAAGAGGCGACACCTTCTCAAGGTAGAAGCCGACAGGGCACCACTCTTCTCTTCCGGACTTCGAATCGCATTAAAATCGCCCGTGAGCAGCCAAGGCATATTAGTTGTCTTGCTTTGCTCTACCAGGCTGTTCCAAAGGGTGTACTGCAGACTCGGGTGGGGAGAGGCATAGACTGCAGTGAGAAGCCAGGGAGCTTCATTCCCCTGGGAAATGTGAAGAGACAGATGTTGATTGCAGGCGGAAGCCAGAGTCACAGAGAACTTCTTGTTATCCCAGAAGACCCAAATGCCTCCTTTCTTGCCGTCTGCTTCCACTCTAAAGACGTTTGAATAGCCCAGCTGGTCACAAAGAGCATTCGCAGTACACCCACTAATTTGGGGCTCCAGGAGAATCACAAAGTCTGGACGGTGGGTTTCGAGGACCATCTTCAGAGACCGCGCAAAAGCTCGGCTCCCAGCTCCACCTACGTTCCAGGACAAGATTTTGAAAGAGGTTGTACTTGACATAGATAAATATTTAAGAGAAGAGAAAGGGTAAGGGAAAAGGAGGTTCAAAAGGAACGGGCTCACCAATTAGGTGGAGGGAGTCGCCGCTTGATTCTCAGGAGGGGTAGTCACCGGAGCATTTCTGACCGGCGAATCTACTTTCCTCAAATCCATCGCTACTGCTTCCATCCCCCCCTTGGTCCAGTCATTTATCTCTTCAAGAGTAAGGGTGGCCAGCCGAGATTTCGTTTTGCTCTTCTTCTCCTTCATCGGAGACCAAATCCGCAGCGGCTTGAGAGGATTCTGCTTCATCGGGGAGCTCTTGCGCAATATGGTTTTAGAAGTTTTATTCTGCTTCTGCTTCCCTCCCAGCTCCTGCCGCTTGGAATTTGTCTCTGATAGAGGTGTGAAAGTGGGCTGTTTGGTCGAGATTATCTGCATGTTAGTGCCATTGGGCCCTGTCAAGAGTTGGATGGGCATATCCGCCGCTAGAAAGATTTGGCTTGAGGTGTTGGTAGCGGGTCCAGTCTTAGGAGAAAGGGGAGCAGGTGTGGAAGATGGCCCTCTAGTGCCATGTGAAGAGGAAGCCTCTGACGGGCCGGGAGAGGCCTTAGGCCCAGTGGTGTTGGACAGAAAAGGGCCGGGGCCCAGTAGTCCTTTAGAAGTCGGTGGACCCGCCAATCCCACTTTCTCCTTACCTTTTTTTGCCTCTTCCTTGCTTTTGCCAACAGCCATTTGTTTATTCTCTGAGATATTTGTCCGTTGGGTATTCTGAGGATTATGGTGAGGCCGCCCCGCACTATCTCCACTTTCCTTTCTTGCCAAATTATTCTTTCCGTTCCTGCTCCCATTCCCATGATTCAGTTTCCCTTCCTCCGATTCCTCCTTCCCTTTCCGATTTTGATCCCTATTATTCCGTCGACTTTTCTTGGTAACTATCATCCAAGGACCGAAACTTGCGCTCGGTTCCGCCACTGTCATCGCGTCGGAGCTTTCCACGCCCAGATTTCCGGCCACCGTCAGAGCACCCGTTTGAGGAGTTAAACGAACCTTTGGGCAGGAGACCGACGGGTGACCCACCTTGCCGCATTCGAAGCACACCTCTAGAAGGTTTTCGTATTCAACCTTCTGCCATTCCCCGTCGATGTGAACTCGAGGAATAAGGGGCTTTCCCAGGTCGATCTCCACAGCCAGGCGCGCGAATTTGGCTCTTTGTTGATTCAATGTGTGGTAATCGAGTTTGATGGTGCGCCCAATTAGATTTCCAATAGAAGTTAAAACTTCTTTGTGGTAGAGATGGATCGGAAGTCCGGGTAGTTGGAGCCAAACAATCATCCTCTTCTGAAGGGGATCTGAGATTCTGAATTTTGGAGTCCACTGGTGCACCACCACATAGTGATCGAAAATTGTCCAAGGTCCTTCGGTGAGGGCTTTGAAATAGTCTTGATCGTTTTCGAGCTTCACCAGATAGCAATCATGGTCCAGGTCTCGCACTTCCATATGCCCTGTTGGCCGCCATTGAGCCCGGAGGCGAGAGCAGAGAGTGGTGAAGCCAACTTTAATCCCCAAGAGCCGGACAACAAGAGTTCTCTGCCAAGGAGCACAGAGTTTGTTCTTGTAGGTGGCCGAGATTTGTAGGGCTGGCTCCCCATTGAAATCTCCTGGGATGAGATCATGTTCTCCAACTGGGGTCCATTGGTTGCCTGGCGTTCCTGGATTTTCAGAGTTTTTCATTCCGGAAACTGCTGCAGCGTAAGAGAAACCTCCGAGATTCGTCGGCCCGGGTGGGATCTTGATCATGTTCGCAGGGGTGGAGGTCTTCAATACCTCCGTGTCCATATCCTTTGATTGACTGGAGGTCTGGTTGATCGCTGAGGTCGAATCAACCGCCATTTCCGTGGAGGAGGAGATCGCTTGCAGATCTGGACTAGATGCTGTAAGGTCCGGTGGAACCACCAGCTGGGGAAAGTCCGGCGGCCGCCCCGGAGGGATGGTCGCCGGCGTCGGAGATTGATGTCGTGTCGGATCGGTAGCGAGCATTTTCAGGATCAAACGACACATCTCTTAAAACGGTAATGAGTCCCCTTTTTTTTTAAATTGAAAATATACTTTATTTATTTTCTTTCTGTTTCATCTGAAGTTTGCCAATGAATTAATTTCTTATCAAATATTTTGTGCACTATAATTAAATTCCGCAATAATTTTGGAGAAAACTAAGTGTAAAACGTTTTCACCCTTTAATTGAAAGGAGCATGGCCGATGGTTCAGTCGTGCATGATGTCATTGGTGATGATCGGGTATCCTGATGCTGACATCAAAACTTAATTTAGCTATTATTAGAGTCTAGTGTACAAATTAGATTAATTTGTTAAAACTAGAATTCCCAGCTGGTCAAAATCATGTTTTACCTGCTGACCAATTTGCCCCACTAGGCAATATCCACTAGAATGTGATCACTATTATTAAATGGCAAAGCGAGAAACACACACACACACACTGTAATTAATTAATTAATCTAGTTCAGTACAATTGCATAAGCACAAACATCATACATATATATGTGAGAGAGAGTTTAATTTATCTTAATTATACCTTGCCCAACACTGCATATGCTTTACTTAACTAGTTGACTAACTCTCTAATTAAGCTTAATAGTACGAGAAGTCTTGTTAAACTACTCCACAACAAACTCTGACATTCTTTTTAATTATAAGCATGATATGTACCTTGACATTGCACTTAATTAAAATTTTCTTTTTTGTTTCAACAACCGAAAATTCCTATCCCTTGACTGATGACGACCCACACAAAATTGTTTAAAAATGAATTATTATCTTCTTTGTATATTTCAATTTGATTGCGTACACTTAACTTAGAAAAATCAAAACAAAATCTATTTTTTTATTGATATCATTGAATGCTAGCTGTGGATTCTTCTAAACTCTCTGCTATGGCTTTTCGGCCAAGTATTAATAGTCCAAATCAAATGTTAATTAAGAGTCAAACTAGCTAGCTAATTGTTACACATCTTCATGACTAGCTATGCAATTGCGTATCAACATCTCATCGTTTTAGGTAGAGTCGGGATTAAGTAATTAAGTAAGTGGGAACATAATTCTTTAAAAAAAAAATTAAAAAAATAGCCGTATGTAGTAGAAGAAATAATCAGATGGCTGGCATGGCAACGATGTTTGATATCAACAATCTTGATTACATCAAAATTAAAACACTCTATTACTGCCGAATGATACATACTTAATGAAAATAGTTGGTCACTAAAGCAATTATTTATTAATTAATGTTGTCCTCCTCCTCCCAATCAATATATGGTTTTGAGTATTTACGGGACTGGCCTCATGGGCTGTGTAATGTGTTGTTGACTTGATTGACAATGTGCTAGCTAGTTGGACACCTCCCTAATGTTTGGGAAACATTTTTCATAGTGTCTAGTTGCAAAGCTATCAAACAATTAACACGTTACGAGACATTGATGATGATGACCATTTGTCAATTATTTTCCCACAAATTCAATGATATTGATGGTTAATAATCGACATGAAAATTTGACTACTTCCAAAAATTAATCTTACTTACGTCTTACCAGTTTTCTTCAAAATTGATATGTGATGATAACAAATGTAAGAAATGTTTGCGAGTAATGTATTGTTAAACAATACTTGTACACTTTCATATTGCTTACCAAGCAAGCAACGATGGCAAGCAAAATCAACTCCACCAAGCTACTAGCTAGACACACAGAAAGTCCAAACACGTACACCCTCTAGTTGCAAAAGTAGTACAAGTTAATTCCTTCCTTCTCCATTCAATTACCTATAAATATTACACCTACTCAAATCCTTCCTTCTCCCTCTCATTTCCTTTCTCATCATATCAACTCCCCTAAACGACGATGAACACAACCATAAGCCTCACCATGCAAGAAGGCGGCGGCGGCGGCGCTGACGTAACCCTAACCATGGCCAACTGCCTCATGCTTCTCTCCCAAGCCACCACCACCTCCAACCTACATCACCAATACGACGTCGCCCCTCCCGACCCGAGCCGCATCTTCGAGTGCAAGACCTGCAACCGCCAGTTCCCTTCCTTCCAGGCCCTCGGCGGCCACCGCGCCAGCCACAAGAAGCCCCGCCTCCCCACCACCGGAAGCTGCTACGACGTCGTTTCATCGTCGTCGTCACCGGTGAAGCCGAAGACCCACGAGTGCTCCATCTGCGGGCTCGAGTTCTCCATCGGCCAGGCCCTCGGCGGCCACATGAGGAGGCACCGTGGCAGCTCACGCGCCGGCGGGTCGTCGTCGGAGAGCCACGAGAGTACTCCGGCGGCGCCGCGAAAGAGGGCTAGGGTTTTGATGACGATGGGGTTGGATCTCAACTTGACGCCGTATGAGAATGATGCGAGGATGTTTGAGCTTGGCAAGGCGGGAGCTAATAATTATTCTCCCATGGTGGATTGTTTTTATTGATTTTTTTTTTGTTCATGGAGTTTTCCATTTTTGAATTAGCTTGATTAATTAATTATTATTAACATTATTTATGCAGTTGAGTTCACATATTAATTTCTTGATTTGTTTATATATACGGTTAATCCTTGAACATTTTTATTTTAATTGCTTTTGTTGATGTGGGTTCTCTGCGTCACGTTGAGATCAGGATGACGGGAAAGGGTTATTAATTCGGTGGTTAATTAAAGGCTGAAATTGACTAACATTTAAGAACAAAAATTTGACTAACATTGGATACTAAATGGTAGATATGAACCCTTATACGTTTTTATTTTTGGAATGGAAATTGAGGAATTGACCAAAATGAATTGCTTTGGAAAATTAAAACGCGGAGAAAATAATGACGTTTGAAAGTTTTTTCCCTTTTATAATCTATCATTCTAGCTTAAAGCGTGACATTGACCAACTAATTAATAAATATTGGTTTCACATTTTCTTTCCACCATAAACTTAATTAGTTTCACATTTGGAAGCTGGAAATTGATATATATCTATTATATCTACCTTTAATTTCACTCTTTGTCAAAAGAGGGAAAATGGGACTGTTGTCGACAGATAACTGTAAAAGATACTTCGGATTTACACGTGATCATCACACGACACGATGATAGATGGTAATGATAGTGTTTATGTTTTTTTTTTTATCGTACAACAATTTATCGAGTTGGTCTAAATGACACAATAATAGTATTGGTGACCATGACGCAATAATCGTGTTGGTGACCATCAATGGAAGGGTAATAATCATAATATAAGAGTAGCGACACGACGATCATTAATAATACTGAAGATAAACAAAATTGTTATCTAACAGAGCAAATATAAGGTTGTGGATGTACATTAATTATATGTTACGGTTTCTCTGTAATTGATCTTCCATTATACACGACCATGTGAATAAAATTTTCGAAGGATTTATCAGATTTCATTCATCACTAATGTTAGGTTACGTTTTTTAAGAGTAATCATCACATTATGCCTATAAAAAGAGTGACATCACATGTGACATAAGAGGAAAAACTCACCCTTTTAAGTTGTCTTGATTCTGAATTTGTTTGCAATTGTAATGGTTTCGTTCCATCTACCATTTTCTAAGTCACCAACACAACATTTTTTAAGTGGAAAGCTGATAATTGAGAGTTTTAAACACTTGAGAGGAAAATTCATTATAAGAAAGTACTTAAAAGAAATATAGGAATTAACAAAACACTTTTTAATTGGAACGCTAATAAGGAAGAATTTCAAACACTTTATAGAAAAATTAATTATAAGAAAGAACTTAAAATATTTATACAAAAATAAATAATTGCTCATAAGGCATCGTAAAAGGAACATCATAATTTTCGATGAATCCATTTTTATCAAGTACTAGCTTTTACCCGACCCGTTGGTCGGATGATTTCATCTTATTTTTCATTACTTCATAATAATCGAAAGTGATCTTTGCACTACTTGATAATTGTGACATTGATAACAATTAGTTCATATGTATTTTTGTTAATCAGATTATCCTAACTCACTGCGGCCTATACATGTTTCGTATTAAAAGAATTTGCCCTATTTATTGTATCATAAATTGCTTAAAATTATTTCTTTATATTGGTATTATTAACTTGGTTTACTATTAGATACAAACAAAACTAAAACAATTATGCATTAAATTAAAATAGTAATTAGAATTTCTTCAAGGGATTAACTTATTGCTACAAAAGCATAAAATTGATCATCTTAAGATTTCCAATCGTGCTCCATCAGACACAAATCAAAAACCTTTCACGAACATAATAGGAGGGAAGCATATAGCTAAAATAAAGAAGCGAAATGGCAGACCGATAGAAACAAATATCAAAAGCTGGCTGGTTGATGGCTGAGAATTACCTTGACAGAGAGAAGCTGCTAGTGGAGTTTTCGCTGAAACGCTTTCGTGGGTCTGTGTGATTTAAACTGCCTTTTATACGCATAACGCAGAAGGTGATTTCGTTTGCTGGCGTGAATCGAGCTTGGGTTGGTAGCTGAAATTACCTCGACAGAGAGAAGTTGATAGTGGCATTTCTAGAGGAAGCACTTTAACACCCCAATTTCTTCGTTAGAACATTACAGCCGCCGACGTCGAATCTCAGACATGGAGAGCAGGAGGATATGGGTGGATCTAGCTACCTCCGACACAATCCCTATTCGACACTGAATTTGCCCACTGACATCCACTTGGACGTCGTCCAACCACTGACATGCAAAACAACCGTTTGATCCTGGCTTCCCAATGAAAGGAGAGGACGGAGAACGACGATAGAGATGAAGGGAGCGGAGGAAGGGCCCTCTACGAAACATTTAGGCCAACAGTGCTAGACGACTAATGTATCAATCCCTAGCCTTTCTGACAATCATTGTTATCCTTATCACCCAACATTTTACTAAACCCATTACCTATTGCAAATTTTAGGTAGAGTTCCTACTAAAGTACACAAATCCCCCTACAACAATTTAATCAGAACCACTGGTTAGACATTCACTCATGGCAAATTTGAGAAACTGGTGCAAAACTCTACCATCCTAAATTTGAAAATAGTCAAGTGTAAAAATAATTTAAGTCCATCCAACTATACTTGAAATAATAAGGGATCCCACAGTACATCATCATATACAACTAACATTGCTATGTAAGTTAAGCATTCTAGGTAGGGGCGGATACATGGGTCTCTAGGGGTGTCCCGGGACACCCCTAAAATTTGGGGAAACGATTATCCAACCTCCGGTAGTAATTTCGTATGTGTATACAAAATATAATTGGTAATCCGGGACACCCTAACATTTGAAAAAATGATTATCCTACCCTCGATAATAGTTTGCTTATGATTAATAAAATATAAGTGGTAGTCCGTGTTATTCCAACCTAGGACACTACTATTATCAAACATATTCCAATTATGTTGCTACTCATTTGTTATTCTATTTTAAACATCATGCAACAGTAAAACGCTATTTCTTTATCCCCAACTATTTTCAATACCTAATAATTAAACTACGTACATGATACCCTTAATTTTGAATTGATTTTATGGTTACATGGCAAGTGTTGAAAGAGTCTTTTCTACTTTGAGCTACATTAAGAACAATGTTAGAAATCGAATATGTGATAAGTTCGTGAAGTATTGTCTAGTAGGATATGTAGATTTTTTGAACAGTGCAGACACGGAGTTTATTTATATTATTTTTTCAAAATATGAATTTTAATTTATTATTTAATAAAAATTTTATAAAAATTATACAAGTATGATATTTTTAATATAAGAATTATTTAATTTATTATATAATTTAATTTAATTTTTGAAGAGGACACCCCTGTGAAAATTTTCTGAATCCGCCACTGATTCTAGGAGCTAGGAAATATGTAGCGTAATGTAGTAGTGTTGCAACTTGATTAGAAGATAGAGCCATAGATAAAAGAGGGGAAGAGATAGTGTATATATATAGTTATTGTTAGAAGGCATGATGATTTGCATGATGCTCCATGCATAAAAAGAAATGGAGTCACAAACTTGGTGAAGTATTCATACAAAGTGACTTATCAAAATAAAACGTGTAGGTATAGAGAAACACACAATCCACTCAGCTATAATGCGTATAAAGTCATCGATAAACCTAATTGAACATTCATGAGAATAAACATTCAAAAACTCGATCATCTGTGCATCACTTTCTGAATTCACATGGACCTTCCTCTTTAGTGACTCGACTAAAGGTGTTGCAATATAATATCATGGTTCGCTTGATCAATTTTGGTGCATTTGGCAGCATCAAGGTCACCAACTTCATGTTCACTGCTAATATTATGGGAGCTTTAGGCATTAATATTTTTAGTATCGAGCAAAGCTTATTGATACATCCACACAACCACCCTATCCATTAAAAAACACGAAATGTATGTAGCTCATTAAGCCATGGAGATTCAGGAAACACATATACAATGCAGTGACAATACTAAACCACATAACTCAACTTTTGAACGCCACAAAGTTTGGCAAAACTACAAAGATGTAGAGATAATAATAACTTAACAACTTTACCAAAACTCATACCCCCAACACTGTCTAATTCTATTATAATAATAAAAGTACCTATATAGCTAATTGAGTACTACTTTTCCTTACCTAAACTTATGTAGGGAAGCTATGAGAAACTTCAAATCAATAATAGACACAGCAAAATAAAACACCATGACAGAATCTACAAAAGGCATTCATCCTTTGTTGGTGGCCAGCTTTTAATTTCCCTAGAAATTTATTAGTTTCCAAGAACATAACAAACAAAAAAGGTCCGGAGGAGAAATCAGCTGTGGAACAGAATACTCTACATAATGATATGATAAGATGAATGCATCAGATCTATGTTTGAGACATAACTTAGGCCTATCAACTCCGAGAACAACAGGCTAAATTTCAAATGAGAACACAAAACTTTAAACTAAACATTGTAGATTCTAATTTTTCACTAATTGTCTTATGAATACTAATGCTAAACCCTTATCATTTCTAGCAAATCCTAAGTTTTTGTCATGAACAATAAAAATGAAGGTATCTCACAGAGAGTGAGCCAACCCATGGTATCCCAAAACCGAAGCAGGAAACTTTGTACATTCTCATTTAAAAAGAACACCAAAAGGAAACACATGTTTATTTTGTGAGACAACTTATCCTGCTGCCACTCACCAATACAAACTAAAAAAGCACATCTCATGAGAATATGTAAAGCATGGTAAGGCTTATCCCACCACTGCTAATGTCACAGTCTGCGCCAGTCATGACACCTTCCAAATTGAAAGCTGAAGGAAAGAGCAAAGTACCAACTTGCACGCCACGACGGAGGGAGACAATGCAAGTGGCACCAGCAAATCCGACGATGGCTAAAGCCGAAAGCTTGATTAGAAAACTCAAAAGCAAAAATAGGGGTGGTGGGATCCTGGGACGAAGAGGGGCAACCCGGTCTCCCGAAAACAGGGGCGGAGAGAATAGTAGGAGAACATCGAATGTGGGGTTTCCAAAGGGTAACATTAGTGCGACATGCCTGTAATTCAAACATGGAGAATAGAATACAAAGAACAAAACAAAAAATGAAACACAACAAAAAAGGAACAATAAGAAACTGAACATAAAAGAATAGAAAAATGAACCACGATGGAAATCAACAACAAATAAAGCCCGCA